ATAAAAACTTTGATTACATTTCAAATTAATCTTATAAGTTTATGAAAATATCATTATAGCCCATAATAATTATAAAATTTTCACTTAAACCCATAAAATAAAATAAAAATAGAAAGAGCATATAAGCTTTTCCAATAGATGGGTCAATTTAAAGTCGTAGAAATTAAAGGTTTACGAAAGCATTTTGAAGTTTAAAATTTACACTTGATCTCTTTAGATAGTGGCAGAGTTGGTTGGACTATTTTTTTTAAATGTTTAATACAAAAATAAATATCTAAATTTTGTCTCAAAACATTTTAATATCTAAAGAAATTTTCGTTAAAAATAAATGTCTAACATTTTTATCGGAGATTTTTAGGCTCCTAGACTTTATCAACCGTTAAGTAACATGTGTCACATTCTACTAATTTTAATAATTTATTTTAAAAATAAAAAAAAAAATATTAAAAAAAAACAACCCCAATCACCGTGTCCCCCTTCTCCCCTTCTCTTTTCCCCCTTCCCCTTCCCCTTTTCTATGTTCGTCGGCCGGCCCATGACCGTCACCACCACCTTTATCAACACTGGCATTGACTCTCGACCAAACCCTAATGGCCTTTCATCGTAAAGTATCACCGTTTGTCGTATAGAAACGTTCAAAGGTTCATCGGATTTAAGCTACTGTCACTTTTTTTGTCGACTTCAACCGATCCCGACGTTCATAAACCAAACCTCCACCACCATTTTAACCAAGGTGCAATTCCAATCAAAATCCAAGTGTCCGACGACGATGGTGATTGAAAATGGCCGACGACAGTTAGTAATGGGGGTTAAAATGAGATATTTTAGTTTTTTAGATTTTTTATAATTTAATTAGAAGTTTAGGTTTTTATAAATAAATTAAGTTTTTTCAAAAATAATATTTTATTATTAAAAATTTTAAAAATATAACGATAGACACTTAATAGTGTAACTAATAAAAAATTAAACATCTATTTTTAAAAAAATATAGGTACAAAAACTTTTTTTAAGATATTGTTTAAGTACTTACTTCTGTATTAAAACAAAAACAAAATTATGAAATGACATCATGCATTGTGGTCACCAACAGAACCATACACTCATCCTATATATATATATATATATATATTAAATTAGTCATAAATAATAGTCGTTATCCTGCAAAATTTAATTATATTTTCTAAACATTACACTTCAACGAATGATGTTAAATATAAAAAATGAAAATTTAAAGAAATGATTGATTAAATGATTTCACTACTAAAAAATATTTTTTTGAATATTAAGATTCGAACAATTATATATATAAAATGTGTATTATAATGTACTGAATTTTTTTGAATAAATATTATTTTATGCTATTAAAAATATAAAAAAGAGCATTTGAAATATATTTATTTCTTTAATTTTATCAAATGTTTTCTCAAAATAAAGCACCAGTCTCCGTTAAAATAATTAAACAAAATTCAAACTTAAAATAAATCTAAACAGAACTGACATAATTTAAGCATGATAAAACTTAAATTAAATCAATTAACATTTGATAAGGCGGACAGAAATGGGTGTCAGAGGGGCCTCGGCCCATCTAAAATTTTAGAAAATTAGCATCTAATCCCTTAAAACATTTATAAATTTTAATTTAACCCTCTTATAATTTTTAAAAATTCTAATAAAGATTCGGTTTTTTAAAAATATTTTTAATTAGATCTCCTCTAATTTTTTTAATCTCATTAGTTTTTTTTCGTAAATTTTAATTAGACTTACAGATTTTTAAAATAAAATAAACCCTTTGAAATTTAATTTTTTTTAAATTAAATCTCTAAAATTTGAAACATACATTTAAATGGTGGTGGTGGTAATTCAAGATATTAAATTCCTAGTTTACAAAAATTTTCAATTGGAATTTAAATCTTAAATAAGTTTGTGGAAAGACATAAGGTTTAACGTTTTATTTTAGGATAAAAATCATATTTTAAAGTGTTAACCGTCTATTAACTAATGATTTTTCATTCATAGAGAAACCTTTTTATCTTAAAATAAAATGATGGAGGAAAAAATATTTAAAAAATAATATAAGTTAACATAATTATTTTGATTAAATGTGAGACTTCTTTTGACATTATACCAATTTGAAATGGAGAAGTCACAAGAGCAATGGTTCAAATATTTTATTTGCGGACATTAATAATTTATTTAAAAAAACTCCAATCAAGTGCTTCCATATGTTTTGAAAGGAGGAAAGGACTTCAATGAAAAAGCTTTCAAGTTCCGATTTATATTAGTAAAGGGCAGAAGTGATGGTAGTAGCGGCAGTGGTAGCAGTTTGGGGGTGGTGGCGGTGGTGTTTGGATATGTGGATGGTAGAGTGGAAATTGCATTGTACATGAAGGCAGAAAGAATAAAATAATTATTAAAATTGTTGAATGTGTAAATATGGAAGGTTAATTTGTGTTTAGGATGATTAGTTTGACGATGAGATCAAATTAATAAAAGAATTTAGAGGGTTAAATTAGTTAAACTAATTCAATTTAAAATCGAAATGATTAAATATATAAATAACGAGGATCATATATGTTATTATATAAATTTATTTAACTGTCAGATAAATAATTCTATTAATCGTTCAAAGTTTGTAGTTTGATGAATTCGTTAAGTGATCGTAATAGTAAAAGGAAATATTATTTTTCTTAGAGATTTTAGATTGGAGCAGAGAAAAATATAAACATATAATTAACATAATTTTATGAGATAACTGATTACTGAATTAAAACCATTACCTGTAAAAACCAACATCATCATGAGGATGATGCATTGGCAAATATGGTTCCATGAGATGATATGCCTTGGGAAATCATGGTATTGTAGTAGGCAAAATTAACATGTTTTTTGGACAAGATGGGTGATGTTGGCCTGCGACAATTATCAAAGATAATGTCTATTTGTAAACCCTTTTTTAGGGTTATTTGTTATTTATTTATTGCAACCTTGATTTAGCTAACCAAGTACTTAACCCATGCTTTGTCCGACAATATCATTGCTCAACATCAAGGTCCCATGCTTTTAAACCCTCCTTTTTATGTATTTATACACAAATATAGAGGTTGATAGAATCATGTGAACCACACCACACAGTAGCATGATGTTCAAAAACAATATATGATCTAACTTCATAATGTTAAGCACCATATAAAACACATGATGCAAAAAAATAGTACAAGACAAGATGAATATAAATTATTTTGATATATATAAAATACAAACAGATAAATTGTTGAATTTAGGTACAAACAGTGTGTTTGAAATCGATCCATGATTTTATAAACTTTAAACAAGTAGATACCCACTCTTCCTCATGATTCAATTCTCTTCTTTTCATGTGAGTCTTTATTGGAATTATTCTATTTTTGAATTAGGATAAAATATATAAATAGTTGTTAAATTATGGTAAAATAATTTTTAAAATTTTAAATTATTGAAAATATGAAATGAGTATTAAATTTTTTATTTTGTTATAAAATAGAAACTGTGACATTAGCCATTGTTAAAGGAATAATTATAACATGATACATTAAATTAGTGGATAATATTTTATTTGACCCCTCAACGATAATTAAAATTTTATTTTTGGTTCTGATCTAATATTTGTAAATAATAATCCTATTTTTTTTAAATAAATTTGTTATTTTAAAAATATATATGAAAATTTATAATTTATTTTTAAAATTATAATTATAAGAATTTTTTGCAAATCATAAAATTTTAATAAACCATTTATTAAATTTTCTTATAATTGAAAAATATTTTAAAATGTTAAAAGTGAATTATAATATTTTATATATTTTCAAAAAAAATCTGTTTATTTTTTAAAATATTGATATATTAAAAATTAAAATAGAATTTCCTCCTTCATGATCCCGAAAAGAATTTATTTTTACATTGTATATAAAATTTAAACATTTATGAGATAATTATAAATTATCACTTTCACGTTAAAAACGTTACATTTTGTCTCCAATAAACTAAGATCTTAGCTTTGTCTCTGTATATTCGTTAGTTAAACACCTCTCATTAAACCAGGTTAGAGTTTCAGACATCACTCTCCCAACCCACAGAAAACCAAACTTGACCTTTTCACAAAACAAATCCAAATATTCAAGTTTTTTTGTTATATTGCAGGAAAGTAAATGGAAAATTTTATGTGCGTGTAACTTTTTTTACCCTTAGATTTTGATGATCAAAAGAGATGGGAAAAAAAGAGTCTAAACTAAAATGGTAAAAAAGTCATTAAACCAATATTTATTATTATTAAAGCCACTTCTCAAATCATTTAACTTTAGTAACTTTTGGTTACTAATATTAAAATATGATATAAGAACATAAGTAAAAGTGTATCGATTTGAGCCAGTCGCCTAAACACCGAAACCATAGCAGCACTATGGGGGAAAATCAAAGTTGAACCCCAAAACAAAAGCATGAGCCGGAGAGTGTAATAGATGGAGCATGCAATGCAATACATTTGCTTGGATGTGTGCATAGGCATGCATGCAATGAGCAGCGCATTTAGGGTCAAACACATGATCTTATATAAGAATGAATTTATAAAATTTTAATTAACGAATTTATAAAATTTTAGAAATAATAAAAATATATTATTAATTGAAAAAAAATATCTAATATATATATAAATTTAAAACTTTTATGTACGACTACCCATTCACCCTCTCGATCTATCAATGAGCACACATATCCAAGTGCGGCCAATTTCTTAAAATAATTATAGTACAACCAAAGTGAAAGTGAAAGTGAAAGTGAAAGTGAGCTTTTTAGCTTGATGGGTAGCTGACACCAACAACATTATAGGGAAGTGAGAAATGGTTTTCTTTAATAAAACCAAAAGGCATGCAAATTCAAACCAAGGTGTGGGTGCGGGGACATCGAAACCAAGATATTATAAGAATCTGTAAGAGAAGAACAAGAAGAGGGAATTAAAGAAATATTTTTGCCATTCTTGGCTGTTTTCAAGAGCTTCGAAAAATGGTGAAGGAATATTGAATCGGTCGAGAAAGTTTTTCTTACAATGTTGATCTTATGTTGGATCGGATCAGCTGTCGCCATTTCCATTACGGAATAAGACTACTCCACCAGTGCACAACCATGGCTTCTTGTTGTCGTAAAATCTCTTCTATCATTCATATCTTTGCAATCTTTCTTCTTGTTTCTTCTTCAATTTGTCCTGTCTTCGCATCGGAACCCCACAATCTCCGTGCGAGAAATCAAACTTTCCGACCAGAGAAAGAGTTGAAAAAGTTGAAAATCATAAGGCAACGTCTCAACCAGATCAACAAACCAGCAGTAAAGACAATTCAGGCAATTTAATCTAATTTTTGGCCCTCGGGTCTTTTTAATCTTTTATCAGACATTACATCCAGTCTCCGACATGTTTTGGTATGTTTTCTTTTCTCTAACTATGTTATCCTCTTTTGACGTTCTTAGTTTCTGGTTTTCCGTTGCAGAGTCCAGATGGTGATATTATTGATTGCGTTTTGTTGCATCATCAGCCTGCCTTCGATCATCCTCAACTCAAAGGACAACAACCCTTGGTAATCATTTATTATTTATTCAAAACCCACATATAGAGTAAACATGACACAACCAGAAACATGTTATGATATGAGATTTAAATTTAACAGTTTTTGTGATTGTTGAGATATCTGCAGGATCCACCAGAGAGACCTAGGGCTTATGATGCAGAAGGAATGATGAATACGGGGGCAGAAGAAGAGCACGTTCAGCTATGGAGGATGTTGGGTGAAACGTGTCCGGAAGGAACAATTCCGATCAGAAGAACAACGAAAAAAGACATGTTGAGGGCTAGTTCTGTAAGAAGATTTGGAATGAAACCGAGAAGACGTGTTAGAAGAGATTCAATCAGCAATGGCCATGAGGTAGGTAGCCCTCGACATGTACTTTACTAAACAAAATCAATGGGAATAATAATAAAGGTAGGGTTACACAGCATGCGGTCGGATACGTGAACGGAGAAGAATATTATGGAGCCAAGGGCGGCATAAATGTGTGGGCACCTCGTGTCTTTAATCACTATGAGTTCAGCTTATCCCAGCTCTGGCTCATCTCTGGTTCTTTTTCTCACGATCTCAACACCATCGAAGCCGGTTGGCAGGCATGTCATTTCCCTTCTTAACTCTACTTTTTAAGACACTAATTAACTCACTCTAATTCCATTTTATGCAGGTGAGTCCAGAACTATACGGGGACAATTATCCTAGATTCTTCACCTATTGGACCGTATGTATATTATAATCATTTGGAAACAATTTAATTGCCTAATTTATTCCTCTTCGCTTTGCGTAATGATAATGAACCTATTTTGCAGAACGATGCATATGAAACAACTGGGTGTTATAATTTGCTGTGCTCAGGATTTGTTCAAACCAACAATAGAATTGCAATTGGAGCGGCGATCTCCCCAGTCTCATCTTACCATGGAGGACAGTTTGATATCATCCTCTTGGTTTGGAAGGTTATAAATTAAGTCTGCATAACTCGTCAAGTGACTTTAGTAGTAAAAAGAAAACGATATTCTTTTTAAAGTATTCGAGTTCAAATAGTTACTTTAACAGAGTATGTACATTGTCAATAGAGTAAGAAAAGTTCTAAATAAATACTATCTTGTAATCACGATACAATCGAACTTTTAATTTCAACCTAGAAACTCAACAGGTTTATGTTTGGTGTAGGATCCGAAGCATGGACATTGGTGGTTGGAATTCGGGACGGGGGTGCCGGTGGGATACTGGCCATCATTTTTGTTCACTCACTTGAGGGATCATGCAACCATGGTTCAATTCGGTGGGGAGATAGTGAATTCAAGGGGCGGAGGTTTCCACACCTCAACGGCAATGGGAAGCGGTCATTTTTCCGGCGAAGGGTTCGGAAAGGCGTCTTATTTCAGAAATTTACAAGTGGTTGATTGGGATAACAACTTAATCCCATTGACGAATCTTAGGCTACTAGCTGATCATCCCAATTGCTATGATATCCGAGCTGGGATTAATGGAGTTTGGGGGCATTATTTTTACTATGGAGGACCGGGAAGAAATGTTAGATGTCTGTAATGGAGAAGGACGAAGCCTTGGCCGGAATAGGTTAAATAATTTTGAAATCCAAATCTATTTTTACCATTACTAAGATTGTTCCAGGGTAGATATTATTATTTCTTTAGCATATAGTTTTTTATTTGAATTTCTTGGGTTTCTTATGGAGACCATTCATTCAGTAGGTTTGGGCTTTCGGGGTATTCTTATAGTAATTATTTTCCTTTTATTTTAATCTTTTTATCATTTTCTTAATTCCATGTATATATAATTAGTAAATAGAACACGAATGAAGTAATCTAAGTGGTTAAAATGATGATTGTTATCTCTAGAGGTTTTAGGTTTGGACACGACGTATGCAGAGATAATTAAACAATCATTGTTAAATATGATTGAGAGTTTTTCAAACATATATTGTCTTGTAACCATCTTAGACGGATAAAAAAGCAAATATAAAATGTTATTAAAAACTGTGAAGTTACATGTATCACGTTTATATTTTTACTTTTTTTAAAAAAAATATTATTATTAATTTAAAGAATCCAAGATATTTTAAAATTACATAAAAAATCTCAACACTCTAAAACCTCTCATTCCAATCACATTACTAACTTTTGTTGGTTATCACCAGCCGCATTCACCATCGTCGAATGGCCGCTCGACTGTCACTGGATCTCCATTATCGATCATCCTTATTGCCGTGATCCCAATCTCCTTAAACTCATAAATCCATAAACTTAAATCCTTAAATCTAATACCCAAATCTATAACCTTAATCCCAAATTTATCTGCACCATCTTCATACTCACAAATTATTCATAATCTTAAGTTTGAGTTAAGTGCATATTTGCATTTCTAAGCGCATGAACTGGGGAGGGGGGATTTGCACAGACATAAGTAGGGGGAACTTTGCGTATGTGAGGAGATGGGGATTTGTGCGGGAGGATTTTTAAAAGTAAAAATTTCAAAAGATATATAAAATTGATGTTATTTAACCATTTTTTTAGCTATCGTTACGGTATATAAACATAAAAATATAACGGAGAAAATATTAGACATATTTTTAAATAAAAAATCTTTTGACACTTAAAGTCAAATTAAATATAATTTGTACACTTATTTTTGCATTCCTTTTAAAAATACAAGTAGTTTGTAAAATTTGAACTCTATACATATGGTTACACTAAATTAAAACTTAGACATCATATTTTAGATTTTATCATAATTAAAATAAAATCTTGAAATTTATTTGAATATGATAATTTTAAAAAGAGAAAATAACCTGAGTGACCAAAAATCTCATATAATATACGATTTTAACCAACTTTTTCCGGATTTGCCAAAATGACCAACAAAATCGTAATGCGATCGCTAATTCGCAACGCGATCTCCATTATCGCAAATTCGCGTTGCATTTTCGCAATGCGATAGTTGAAAATCGTGTTGCGATGGTCTATAGTATCGTTGCGATTTTCCCAATTCGCAATGCGAATAAGTAAATCGCAACGCGAATTGGGAAAATCGCAATGCGATACTGACTATCGCAATGCGATAATAAAAAATCGCAACGAGATACTTACTTTCGCAATGCAATTTACATAGCGCCATTCGTATTAACGCGTATTTTTTTTTCAAATTCCAAACACGTATTTTTTCTTAATAAATCGGAAAATGAATCGTCCACAGTAATCGCAACTCATAACCTCAAACCCAAAAACACAACACTCAGTCCCATCTCCATCTCTCACTCTCTACGGCGAAATCCGTCCCCATCTCCGAAGATTTCTGTCCCCATCGCCGGCGAAATCCCTCACAACCATTCACAGTCAAAAATCCCTCACAATCATTCAGAAATGGAAAATCAATCTCCGAGGGTTAGTTTTTTTATTTTTATTTTGAAATTTTTGCATTATTTTAGGTTTTTCATATTGAGATTGATGATAAGTTTACTGGTAATTTCAATAATAGATTAACCATTTCACTTAGATTTCTTATTAAATTCATTCGATTGCTGCCAATACTGCTAAACTGTTTAGCCTGTGAAGTTAGTATTTGTCTTTGCTTTGTCTTTTGGTTGAAGTAATGCAGAAGAAGAATAGTTTCGAGAATGAAAATCGCAACGCGAAAATAACTATCGCAACGAGATAATCGTAACGCGAAATAAAAATCGCAACGCGAAACCAAAATCGCATTGCGATTTTCATTTCGCGTTGCGATTTTCATTTCACGTTGCGATTTTTATTTCGCGGTTGCGATTTTCATTTCGCGTTGCGATTGTCTAGTCGCGATAGTCATTTCGCGTTGCGATTCTCTCGTTGCGATAGTCATTTCCGCGTTGCGATTCTCATTATCTCGTTGCGATTTTCATTTCAACCAAAAGACAAAAACAGTGTTGCAAATTTTAGTTTCAAGAATAAACTACTATTTATGTTTATTGTTTTGTTTTTGGTATATCTTGACAGTGTAATTTTTGGTATATCTAACTTGGTATGTTTATTGTTTTTTTGTAGAAATTTTTTTCGGCTTCATTGACATTAAGGAATAAAGTTAGCCTAGCCACTACAATTGCTTCGAAGCTTTCACCTGCACAAAGAAAATTGTTTGAAGAAACCTGCTTCGGGCCATGGCTGAGAGTACACCATCCGGGTGGAGATGCTAGTTTGACCCATTTGTGGCTTCAGACCATGACTAGCGATCTACCCGACAGTATACAACGTGGTGAGGAAGAGATATGGTTTCATTTTCCACCGGCGTATACTTGTTTTGGGCGGAAGGAGTTCTGCTTAATCACTGGTCTACGATTCGGACACGATGATGTAGGCCGGTACACTCGTCATATCACCCGCCCATCATGGTTATCCAGGGTTTTTCCTGATGAGTCAATAGAGAAGCCGAACTTACACGTCGACGACATGAAGAAATTGTTTAATAAGAAAGATGGTTTTACTCGGATGAATGACGTCGATGTTGTCCGAGTATGCCTTCTACTACTTTTGTATGCCAGCTTTCTAGGCAGAGAGGCCAGACAACCTATTCCTCAGGAGCTAATATTTTTGGTAGAGGACCTAAATGCATGGAATCTGTTTCCGTGGGGTTCGTATATATGGAAAGCTACCTGGACTAAGTTGTCGTCTGCCTTTGATGACCACAAAAGTTTGCGGGGCGATGGGTCGAAATACACTTTGTCAGGCTTTGTTTGGGCCTTTAAGGTAAGAATTTCTATATAATGTTTTCAAAATTATAATTAATTATTTAACAATTACTAATGTTTGTTATTATATTGTTTGTAGATTTGGATATTCGAGGCTTTCCCCAGTATGCGGACATATGCATTAAAATCCTCAGATGATATTCCTAGGGCTATTTCCTGGAAGAGGAAACGTATGTTGGATTGGGAAGACTTAATACCATATGCGACAATAAATAATGTAAGTTAACACAAATACTATCATATATAAACAAGTTATTAATAGTAGACGTTTAACTTTGTTTTAGTTTTTATATTTTTAGGAGGCCAACACTCCATTAATGAGACTGACACCCACGGAGGCTGAGCTTGCCACTGATTGGTGGCAAGCTAGTCAGCGTTTTTTTGATGGCACGAATGATGAGCAGCCTCCACTTCCTCCACTTCGAGAGCCATCACCTCACCCAGAGCCATCACCTGATCGACCCGACTATACACCTCTACAACGAGAGCCATCACCTATCCCGTCACATCATCGAGTCTCTTCTCCACCATCACCTCATGATAGGCGACCGACAAAGATGCCACGACTTCTATCTCCCTGTTCTCCACCTCCACGGGATGAATCAAGGGAGTTACATGATGAGGTCAATGCCTTGCGTGAGGAGATCGGTACTCTACGCGATAACGATGGTGCATGGCGTGTGGAGGTGTCTACTTTACGTGGTGAGGTTGCCGCTCTACGTGAGATGGTAGTATCGTTGCAGAATGAGGTTCATACTCTACGCAACGAGGTAAGTTTAAGATTTTCCATATTTAACTTGATGATAAATTTACTCGTAATTTCACTTAAATTAACCATTTCACTTAGATTGCTTAGTAAATTTATTCGGTTGCTGCCAAAACTGCTAAACTTTTTACTTTAACACTGTGAAGTTAGTATTTGTCTTTGTTTTGTCTTTTGGTTGAAAGTTTGAAATATATTTATCTTTGTTTTCACTGTTTAAATATCATGTATGTTTATTTACTGATATTTGTATTTTTATTTAGCGGACTGATAAGGTGGATGCTTTACGTCGGGTTTTTCTTGCACGACAGAGTTCACGCATCAGACGGCGTGCACGTGCTATTAAGTCTCTGTATACCCCAATAGTGCAAAGACACCGCAAGAAGAAGCCCGACTCGCCTATCATCCCTCAAAAGTCCACTCCTATCATTGAAGAGGCCCCTATCATTCCTCGAGAGTCCCCTCCCACCGTTCAAGAGGCCACTGTCATCGTTGAAGAGGTCCCTCCCACCATTCAAGAGCCCGATTCACATGGCGTCATATGTAGGATTCTTGAGAAACCCTCTGACGTGCCGGACATGATGGATTCAAGTTGGCTCTCGTATGAGTTACCGGCCAGTACCATACCGGTATCTGAAGAGGAGAGGAAACAACTACCGGACACAATTCTGGATAACACCCTTTGGGCTAAGACCGCAGTTGATTTTTATCTACATGAGCGAAGCCAGGGGTGTTTCACTGACATATGCAAGCTCAATGATGATATCTATTTGTTGCTTGATCGGTCTTGGTGGGGCTTATTATTAGGGGTCGAAGACAATGGCTATTTCGATGGAGGGGTAAGTCTTATATTTTTCTTATATTTTCATTTGATTAATTTGTTTAAAAATTAATGTAATTCACTAATATATGTATTTTTTTGTAAAACATCATATCGATGCGTGGGTGTCACGTCTACTAATAATTAGGAAACTTAAGGAAAATAAAAGAAATACACGGTATACAATAATGCCGACGACTTTTAACGCAGTTCACTTGAAGAATCAACGAG